GGATTACTCGTTATTATTCATAACCTGCATCTGTCAAATGGTAACATAACCTATACATGCAACATGGCCGCATACTAGGGGCGTGGCTAAAAACTTTCTCACGATGATAGCACCCTTTCATATTTTTTTCTCAACCACCTTGCGACATCCTGCGTATTGTTGTGCGATAAAAAGAAAGATTCGCATTGTGTCGCAGCGTGAAAACGTCATAATCGGACTGGGAATATCCTCCCACACAAAAGCGCTATAAAAACGATTTGCGCTCGATTGCAGACACACACGCTTTGATTATGTCGTGCGGTGAGTCTATTCATGGGAAACATAGAAAAACGCCTCGCGGGTAGGTAGGTGACCGCGTGCATTTTTAATCGCGCAACATTTATGCACATTTATGCATTCGCACTGTCGAGCATGGCACGAACGCGCTTATTAAACACACGCGATGGAAAAATTATCAGTGCCTTCATTGATTTTCTGAACTCTGCTCTCTGTTTTTATTTTTTATTTTTATTGAACCACTTCCAAGAAGATAAAGATAATGTCATTTCATGCAATAATGCGATTTGTATTGTCATTGTGGGTCGCTAAAATTATTTTTAAGATTACAAACAATGCCAGCGATATTTTTACAGACTTTACTCTTGCATATTCATTGAGTCTTCAAGTAAAAATTTAAATGCTGGATTTTGAAATTTTTAAAGAAAGAAAGTCAACAAAAGTAAAAGTGTCAGGTGGATGAGTTTCGTTTCCTCGTGTCGCAGGGCAAAATAAAAGAAGTTTCCCCCAAAATGTACAATATATATATAAAAACGGACAACAATGTACCTGTTTGGAGTTGTTTTTTTTTAATTCCTCGAGGGTTGAGGGTGCGTTTTATACCTTCCACACCGGATCAAAGCACACTACGCACGCATAAAAAGCTAGACTCGCTAAAGTTGTTGTAAATCGTGATTTTAAGTTTCAGGTTTCCAGACGCACGTCCGAGATTGGCTACAGTTTCAAAGACGATTGAGTTTCGTCTGGCCGTTGTTTGGGAGAGGAATTTCGGCGGTCTTTTACGCATTTTCACCCCGTTCTTTTATCATCGCCAGACAGGCGAGCGACGCGCGGGGTGTGCGCGCGGACCTCAGGTGCATTTCTTTTCCTTCGCAGAGATGACCGCGAAGCCCAAGGCTATTAACTCGCGTCGATTTACATTTCGGATGGTAGGCTGCACACGCAATTAACTGATAATTTATTTTGCCGTGTGCGTAAAGCACGCAAAGTGAAAATTCATTTTGGAAAAGTTCATCAGTTTTTTTTTAATTAAAAACCAAACAATGAAAGGCGTAGATTGTGGTACACCTGTTTAGAAACTCAACGAAGACGCGTGTAATTAAATGTTGCGAACGTATGAAATGAGTAAGAACTCGGTAAGAATAGCGCTGAACGAAAATCAATATGGAATAGTCGTAATGTCGTTGTTTTTTTTTTATTTATTACGACTAGAATAGACATTTCGACCGACCGACCGACCGACACAAAGCTATCTTGTATCTCCAGCAATTTTCCGTAATTAATATAGTTTTTGCTAGACGCAAGGTTGTGGCGGCTGAGGAAAAAAATTGATAGGAAAGCGAGGGGAGTACTAATTTCACGTTTTGCCATAATTGAATATCGATTAGCACAATTTACTGAAACGTTTCTTTTATTTCATTGCACATGTCAAGCAATCACTTAAATATTTATATAAAATAACTCAATTTTTGCTAAAACATTTACTAAAAAAATTAAATCAGCAAAAAATTGCATATTTTTTACATTTTTCGTTGGTAAATTGACGAAAATCAAAATTTAAAGAAAAAAGTGTTTACATGGTTCTATAATCAGCACTTTATGTGCGTAGTTGGAAATTCCACGCGTCTAGACAAGACGTTGTAATATTCCCCAAGTTCAAAGAATTAAAAATGGCACCCGAGCAACACTGTACGAATGAACATAAACAATGCGCTCTTTAAGTCATGCGGCTGCCATGTTTAAGTGCGTGTGTGTGCGTCCGTGAGAGAAATTAACGCAGCGTTACGCACAAGGGCACAACGGAACAATTCTGCGGACTTAATTACGAGCGAATGGCATTAGGCGACGCGCCCGGAGCCGAAAAATCGTCCAAAACGCCAAAGCCGGACGAAGCGTAATAACTGCATATACATGCGCAGAACACCGAACGACGCGTGAATGTGAATGCGAGTTTAAGATATAATGCTAGATTCGTAATCAGTTTTAATAAACCCAATTAAATATCATTAGGCGTTTCCTCCCGAGCGTTCTCGTAAATCTAATGGATAATAATGGCTCGCTTTTTTATTGCGGCGTGCAATGCAATGTGCTATTGCTAATTAATCATCGTCTTTTAAGGCGTCTATTGTTACACATTTACACGTCGGATATAAAAAAATTAATATAGAGAGGAAATTGATTTCTTTGACTAATTATTTTATGTTGCAATTGATTTATAATTAGGAATTTTAAGAATAAAATTTTTGTTTCTTTTTATAACTTAAAAAATTTCTTTCTAGGCTTTCTGTCTAGTGTTTTGATAATTTTGATAGTTTTGTCCTTGATGCTTAACCTATCCCATCGCATTTGTTGCATTCATGGGTTTATGGTCACGATGGGCACATGACTTCTCTGGCGTTCTTCAACCGTGAACCGTGACACCATCACGACGCTCTCGTGCGGATAGGGCAAGTCGCATTCCCGTGCGCCATGGTGAAAACTGCGTTTCGTGTCAGGCTGGCCAAGCCAACCAGAACCGGCAATAATGACAACACCGACAGCACGAACACATCGCGGATGCCCCTATAAAAAAGTTTTTTTAATAGCATAGCTCTGAAAGCATTGTAGGCTTAAAACTAAACAGAAAACAAATGAAAGGGATGAAATAAATGACATAGGTGTGGATGTTTTATATTATTCCGCGTTTGTATATCAATGTGGGCGCCTTGGTAATTTATTCTCGAGCTAGTTGGACCAGTTTATGCTAAAACAAAGTTGCGTTGGTGTACTGGTATGAATCATTGATTCTGGCCTATTCTTTTCTATTCTATTCATAACCCTTCCAAATGCTTGTTGTTGTTGAAGCAGTGAAGTAGCTGCTTGTTTTTCCGGTGCAAGTCGCCGCGCAACTTTCAGCTTTCGTGCCACTTCACACTTCACGAGCTCCATATTGCATGGGCGTCGAGTGAAGCAGAAAAGGAAGCCTGCAAAGTCCCACCGAACACCGAACCCTTTCTTCAAAAACCAGTCGAATGTTATTTTCGAGAAAAATGCTAATTACTATCATTTGTAAATAGAACTGCTGCACGAAATTAAAAATAGCATTCTATTTCTTCGTGTACACGTACCTATGAAGCGTCTTATAAACAAATACCATGCGTATTGGGCGAGTGTAGAAACATGGGACAATTTATTTAATGACCGCCGCCAATTAATGTAAACCGTTTTAATAAGGCCTGCATACGGGTAGGTTGGAATTAAGCGAAGGGCCCGCAAACAGCAGACGCAGCCAGAAACTGACAGACGTCCATGCAGACAATGATCAGCCACCACCATCACCATTTATCAACAGTGTGTAATTCGGTTGTAAATTACTGCACACTCTTGCAATTGACTATGATTGATATGTTGGTTCAATAATTTCAAAAGCTTTTTTTTCAATTTAATTTGCAATTCTTTTTAATGTTGTTTACTTGGTATTCAACTTGCATTACACTTGAAGGATTTATGTAAAACTTAAAGAAACGTTTCTGTTGTGGCTTCTTGGGCAAATCATCAGCATGCCATGAAAGGCTCAAACGCAAAGCGTGCGACGAGTTGTCGCGCTATTCATGATTTAATGAATGAGGCGGTTTCATGCACGAAAATGTTGGAATGAAACGCAGCGGGCGAAAGAAGACATCGAGACTTCAGCGCTTCGGCAAGCGGCGAGCAAGCACATCTACAAAGTGTTCTGGAAAACAAAACAAACAAGTAAAACAATGTTTTGATGAAAATACATCTAAGGAACTCACTCGGTGCGCATTTATAAAGTAATTTCATTAGAAATGTCAATTTTAAAGTTTAAATGCAAGTTTTGAGTAGATTTATACTCCGGATTAGATTTGGAATAAGATTTTTATGCAAATAGATTTTGGATAGATTGAAATAAAGGCAGTGTGTGCATTTTCACGCAACATTTGGTACGCCGCAGACGCATCACGTCGCCAGCAGGAAACTGGTATAAACAAGCCGAAAATTCTATTGCATTCTATCGCGGCGTGCACGCCGCAGCCTGGCGGTGCCTATAATGGCGGATTGGATGGCATTGGCGCGCTCGCCTAGGGTTAGGAGGCCATTGCACCGCCGAATGCAATGCGTCGCGCGGCGAGTGAGCAGAGTGAGCCCACCGAAAGCGCCGAAAAAAACGCGGCCCGCGACTTCCACGCACGGTGCGTGCACGTCCCTGTGATTGTGTGCGCGTTCGCGTTGAAGGACAAGGGCCCAAATTCAATGACCTAACTCTAGAGGTTCTTTGGAGGTCACGCACATTTATTGCGTAAGGCGATGCCGGCGCGAGGAGATGTTCGGGGGTTGTGCGGGGACGCATCGCGCGCCGCGTCGCTGCTTGTGTTTGGCTTCTTTGCGCGACGCGACTCGCACTCGCCCAGACATTTAACAAACATTTACGCACTGATAGATAAGTTATTTCGTTATTTGGCTGTTGGGGAACTCGTTGCGTCTTGTAGTGTACGGTGACAAACTTTGTTTTTATAGTTAAGTTAGTTTTACGTGCATATTTGATGATATAATCAAACAAATATTAACTATTGCATTAATTCTTTTTTTAAATTAACAAATTTTTAGCCTATTAATATAAAATATCATCCTCATTCAGTTTATATGCGAATGTGAAGATGTTTTGATAGATACATCCTAATATTGCGATAATTGTATGGAAATAGTTCCGAATTTTAACACAGAGGGCGCGTATAAGCAGCAAACTTTTAAATTTTTTGAACCAGTACTACTAGCGCCCTCGATGTGATAGTACTTGAAGTTAAAGCCGAGTGTTCACGTGGGTTCCCGAAGTGGGAACCTCTCTTTCTCTTGTCAATCTGTGTGTGCAGAAGGTATGTAGGAAAATAATTTTGTAAAATCTTCAATCATCCGTAAGTTTATACATAAATCAAGCCCATTTCTTTGTTTTATGGATAATTTGGCGTCTTCCGCAACTATTTCGTACGTTATTTTCATTCATACAACCGTAATATTCAAGAAAATGGTTTGTTATTGTCGCGGTAGGAGGTTATGTCTTCTGTGATAGCCAACTCTCTTTAAAATCTTTCTATGTTTGATCATGTTCGTATTTACTAATGTTATTTTTTTGTTTTAGACAATTATATTATAAATAATGGCCAAGCAAAAGGGTGAAAAGAAAGGCACATCAGCCATCAATGAAGTAGTCACACGCGAATACACCGTCAATCTGCACAAGCGATTGCATGGCGTTGGCTTCAAGAAGCGCGCACCGCGTGCCATCAAGGAGATCCGCAAATTCGCGGTGAAGCAAATGGGCACACCTGATGTGCGTATTGACACCCGCCTCAACAAGCAACTGTGGTCCAAGGGTATCCGTAATGTTCCATTCCGCATCCGCGTGCGATTGTCGCGCAGGAGGAACGATGATGAGGACTCCGTCAACAAGCTATTCACTCTGGTAACATATATACCAGTTGCTGGATTCAAGGGCTTACAAACTGAGAATGTTGATGTTACACAGGAGTAAGGATTCAATAAATAAGAACTTTATTTATATCTGCAGTTTTATTGGATGGTCACACAAGCAACTATCATGGGATATTGTTTGGGTAACACTTTCCTTTCTTAATATTTTGCCTCTTATTGTGGGTTCACTGGTTTTGTAATTTTTAGACTTCGAATATTCGTTTTTCGACTAATATCTGTGAACGATTGATTCGTTGTTTACGTGGATCTGTGGTTGTCATCTAATTATATTTATATTTGTGTTTAATGTTTTGTATCTTCAATTTCTTGGTGAATTTTTATTAGGTGGTGAAGTTTTGCCTGAAAATATTGGTTGTTTTAGTTCAATTCTTTATTTTTCAGAGATTAACGTAACAGAAAGTTGTAGTATTGAATTTTTAATAATATCTTCTTAAATCGTTTCTCGGTTCGTGATCATCGTCAAGTTCAAGTCTGAATGCAGAAATCTGCTATGTATAAATTACCCACAACTAGATGGCGCTAGTGATAGGAACTTTTTGAATTTGAGTTATTTCTGTGTATTAAAAATATATTTATTTATTAAAATTCCACGTGATTTTTGGATTTACAGTTTTTGTTTTTAGAGTTTTACATGTTTCGCCCTGAGGGCATCTGTGTATTATGGGGTGTTCTGCGTGTTAAGTGTTTATGTATTGTGTGTTATCGTGCTTATCGAACTTATGATATAGAATTAAATTATCTATCAGAATCCGATTAAGAATTTAATAAAAATTAATAGTTCCATGCATAGTACGAGTATAATTCTTTTCATGTTCTGCACTACCACACTGAAAGTATCAGTGTTTACAAACAAACAAGTTTCTTTATCTCCTGCAGTTTTGTGCGGTCGCCACGCGGTTGGCGTGCGCACCACATTTTCGTTACAATATTTTGAGTTCCCTAATTTTGTGTCGCGTTATTACGTACTGTTTCTAAATGCTCTTTCGATTGTGCGCGAGTGATGTGCGGCGTTCGTTAAGCGCGGATTGTACACACGCAGAGGTAAAGCGTGAGTGATGTTCCGTCGGCCGACCTTCATATTTATTTCGTATTTTCTTTGGATAACGCGCAAAAATTTATTTTGCATCAAGGTATGTTCTCGCATTTCTTCAGCCATATGAAAATTAAATCCATTATTGACTTAACTTGTTTTTACTTCAACCGCGTGGTCTTTAATCACACAAATAATTTTTGTTTTTTTCTCTGTTTCAATACCTACCATTGATTGGCAATACGTATTTGATACATTGTTTCGTTTTTTTTAATGTACAAATTGAAAATATTAAAATTGTCGTGTGCCGTCGGTTGTGTTCTTAATTCTTTGGCGGCATTTTCCGGCAAAACCCACTACCCACCACTATTAGCTTCAATTTTTAATTCCGAAAATAAGAAAGAGAAATCTTTTGCTTTTTTTATGATGAAATCATCTTTTCAGCAAGTGCAGCTTCTGAAATAATTGGAATTAAATTCTATTTTCAGATTTTGAAAGATAATTTAATTCTTAATTGATTATTTAAGTAATTATTAGTCTATCATTGACGGCAATTTTAATTAAAAAAAAAAATGGATTTTTACATGCCAATATGGCTTTAATCTACAATTGTGTTACATGTTTCGATTTAGAATTTAATATACTCTCAAAAATCAAAAATAGAATTCAAAAATTCTAATTAGTACCGAATCTGTATTTGTTAAATAAAACATTTTGTCATAAAAAAGGCAAACGATTTCTTTATGTTGAATGCAGTTTTGACTAAAATTAGCTAATAGGCCCTAAACGGTTAATATTAGGAAAAAAAATAACCAAAAATATTCGATGTAGAATTAAAAGAACTGTTTAAGTATTTATTATCCTAACGTTGAACGATTAGGACCTATTTGTAATTTTAATTAAAAAAAAAAATAGGTGTTTACACGCCAATAGGGCTTTAATCTATAATTTTGTTACTGGTGTCCGATTCATAATTTAATCGAAATTAAAAGTTCCATGCACTGTACGAGTACAATTCTTTTCATGTTCTGCATTACCACACTGAATGTATCAGTGTTTACAAACAAACAAGTTTTCTTATCTCGTGCAATTTTTGAGCGGTCGACATGCGGTTTGCCTCGCGGTTGGCTTGCCTACCACGTCAGTCTCATATTTGTCGTCGGGTGATCTGCACGCACATTTCCTTCACAATAATTTGAGTTCCTTAATTTCTTCGCGTCATTACGTAATATTTCTAAATGCTCCTTCTATTGTGCGCGAGTGATGTGCGGCGTTCGTTAAATGCGAATTGTTTATACGCAGAGGTATAACGTGAGTGATGTTCCGTCGGCCGTGAGATACTCTCTTTGTATGATGCGTGTATTTCATCATTTCTACAATGTGCATAATTAAGGTCCTTACAATTTATTGGATAGGCCAAAAACGCAAAAATTAATTTTGCATCAAGGTATGTTCTCGCATTTCGTAAGCCATTTAAAAATCAAATCCACTATTGCCTTTACTTGTTTTTACCTTAACTGCGTGGTCTTTAAGCCTACAAATAATTTTTGCCTGTTTCAATACTGTTGATTTGCATTACGTATTTGATACCATGTTTTTTTTGTTTAATGTACAAATTAAAAAGATTAACATAGTCCCATGCCGCCGGCTACGTTCTTGATCCTCTAGCGGCTTTTCGGGCTGGTCGCTGGTTGTTTTACATGAAATTTTACAGTGAAATATTTGTATTTTTTTGCGTTTGCACGCGAGCTTGGCGGCTCACTACCTTCAGCGCGCCGTCTAGAGATGCGGAATTAAATTCTCCGTCGGGCTGTATTTGTTTGTTGTTGGAATTCGATCTGCAACTCGCGAAAATTTGCATTAAAAGGTGATTTTTTCAATCTTTATCGTAAAATGTTTGTATTTTTTCGGATTTGCACGCTTAATAACTTATGCGCGCATCTAGAGATGCAGAATTAAATTCTCCGTCGAGTGGTATTTGGTTGTTGCTGGAATTCGACCGGCAACTAGCAAAAATTTGCATTCCATGGGGTTTTTTCACCCTTTATCGGGAAATATTTGTATTTTATCGCGTTTGTACGTTATCTTGGCGTCACAATAACTTCAGCGCGGCGCCTAGAGATGCCGAATTAAATTCTCTGTCGGGTTGTATTTAATTGTTGCAGGAATTCAACCTGCAACGCGCAAAAGTTTGCATATCAGTGTAATTTTTCAACCCTTTTTCGTGAAATATTTATATAGCGCGACGTCTAGAGATAAAGAATTAAGTTCTCCGTCGGGTGGTATTTGTTTGTTGCAGGAAATCGACCTGTAACTCGCGAAAATTTGCATTAAAAGATGATTTTTTCACCTTTTATCGTGAAATATTTGTATTTTTTTGCGTTTGCACGTGATCTTGGCGGCTCAATAACTTCAATAACTTTCATAATCTTCAATCCGTTTGCCTTCATTAAAAAGATATTTGTTACCGACTATACTTAAAAAAATGACGCAACACATAAGCTATACAGTAAACTACGAAGACAATAAATTATTTATTTGGAATGGAAAATTAAATTCCTGTTTTTTCTCAATCTTATTTCATCCCAAAGCCAATAAATATTGAAAATAAAAGTAGATTTCGTGTATGTCGGTTATTTGAACATTGTGAAATTTTTGTTTGGTTTCTTCAACTGCGAGTTTATCAGTACGTTTGTGTATAAACAACTTGTTTTGTTCGGCTGACGCGTATTATCGCTACGTACCAGCCTTGTACCTGGCTAAACGAAGCGCACACGGCAGTCGTTTCACCGCGTGTTCCACGAACGTGTCTCTCTAATCACCATGCGTTTTGAAGTTTTAATTGGATTAATCGTCGTGTACTTTTTCGACCATCAGCAAAATATTCGCAATAGTCATGTGTGCCTGTTTTGTTTAATGATTTGTGAGGTTTAGAGCCTCCTTAAATAAGAAATAAGTGTCCATTAATCTGTGCGTTTGTTTTCAGTTGATAGAATATATTCTAGGATATAAAATCCCCTCATCAATGCATAGGTAGGTGTGCAATTAAATGTTTTTACGGAAAGTTACGCCGGTTTTACTTAAATTGATAATTCTATTTGAGTGATATGCCGTCGGCCGCGGCTCATCCATATTTTCGCTGAACACGTGAATGTTTTTAATCGATTTGCACTCCTTAGCATCATTAAATTAAGAAGTTTCTTGTTGACCGCGCAAAATCTTGTACATTGAATAGTTTTTCGTTTTCATATTCTCCAACAAAAAATAGTTACGTTTATCCTCTCTAACAACTTTAATGCTACGCGCCGTCGCTTGCCGTCAGCTGATTTGCATGTTTTCCGTCGGACATTCTATCAATTTATGATGATGCTTCACCCGTCGGTTACTTTATGCAGTTGATGCATCAATTAATAAATATACATTCACTATATGTTAAAATGTAAGTGTTTGATTTTCGTACCATTTTTTTGCTGAATTTCCCGATGATTTTCGGGTAAAATCTTGCATTTTATATTAAAATATTGTTGTATATTTGTAAATTTCTCTCTTCATGTTGTGAATATTAACTCCTTTTTTAGTTTCTAAAGTTATCTTTTTGTAACACCATGTATATTAGTTTTCCTAACACTACGTACAAAATCACCGGTTTTTGTGAGTTTTGAGTGTTCTTTGTTTCAAATCGAAATTTTCTTTCTGAAACACCCTGTATATTCATTTTTCTTTGTGTCCGTGAAAATTTTGATTAACTTTTGTTTTTAGGATTTTCCTCATTGCCCTTTGAATTTTCTTTTTGTAACACCCTGTATATTAGTTTCCCTGATCGTCGAGTGAAAACGAGCGACGTTTATCGTGTTTAGAGTTTTTGTTTGCACTTTAAATTTTCCTTTTGTAACACCCTGTATATTTGTTTCCATTTTCAATCACGTAGAAAATTGTCAATTTGCTAATTCCTTTATCGGTAGAACGGTAGAACTTAGTAGGTACTTGCTTATAAGTGCGCGGCTAAGCAGGTCGTAAGTCCTGTTTCAATATGACTTGTAAAATCTAAACTTGTATTTTATTATTAATAAAGAAATGTTAAGAAATATTATGTCTTATGCTTTGAATGTCCCCCTTCTATCATTTCAGGTACAGGTGACTAAGAGAGTTCCCTCTCTCAGGGGATGATCCCCACTATAAAAATTGTTAAGGTAACCTGTATGATTTGTGTACTCCTTCCTTCATTTCAGAACTTGTAAGAATATTTTTAAGTGTCACCTCTCTTGACACGACTTAAAACTTAAAAATATTTGAACAAGACCTTATAAGGATTGTCCTTATAAGGAGTTCCCTCTCTCTGGGGATGATCCCCCACCTTAAAAATTGTTGATATGCCTGATAATTTCGGGGATGAAGCGCAGAGACATCGTAGCTGTAGGATGGGCCGGGAGCAATGGAGGCATCGAAGCAGTGGGCTGTCTTATAACGACACGTGCCAAAAAATTTAAAAATCTGATCCACTCCTGTCGCTCTTTCTTCTATCTCCTCCTCTTCTCTACTACTCTGTTCTCTTCCATCTATTCTTCTCTGCTATTCCTTCTTCTACTTCTCCTATTTCTCTGTTCTCCGTTTCTCGACTTACTTTCTTACTTCTCTTATTGCCTTCAGTTGTATTGCAACTTCTCTTATATTTCGTTGCAATTCATATATGCAACCCAAATTACATCTGCTATTTTTACATTTGAGAAAAATGCCTTTTATAACTGGGGATCGAACCATCGATCTAAGGTACAGCAGCATATGCTGCACACCTGAGAGCCACGCGGCTTTCTTATCAAACTATATTCGTTTCTTCTATTTATGTTTTCATATCTTATAGTAAAATAAAACAGCAACATACATATACTATACTGCACTATACTATGCTGTACTATGGTATACTCTTAGAGTTGAACGTGACTTAATGCTAATCCTGAAAACGACTAAGTAGGGACACATGTAAAAACGAATATGAAATTAAATTATCCTTTATTGACTGAATCATTTACAATTATTATAAAGCAATAATATGGTGCCTGTAAGATTTAAAAAGTTAAATAAAAGTAAAATTCTACTTGATGTTACTTACTGCTTTGTTCTTCTATCCATAAAGAACTAAATCGCACAAACACGTTTCCGCAAATTGTAAGTTGAATTGATGATACGCACTTCTTTACTATTCCATGCGGATACCACGAATGGAAAACTTGTACTCACAATAAACACATATCCACCGGCGGAACATATCCGACGGACGCCACGCACGCACCGCAAAGGATTACTCAAATCACTCGTTGTGAGCTACACTGAGCTGTTACTACTAAATTTCTCTGATGGTCAACCGATTCTAGCATTACTACAAAATTAACATATTAAGAAACGCGTAAAATCGTCACCATGTTTGATTAATGAATAAAACACGTGCGCACCACGAGGCAGCGCTCAACTGACTAAGCCGGAATAAGCAGGTAAGAGAATTGATAACCGATCCGCAGTTGGAGGGGCATTCGTATATCTGCGCACGACAAAAATGCTATTACAAATATATTGCAAGTTATAAAACAAAGTTTATACAATTTGAATACTTGTGAAAGAATGATTGTTTTACGATATCACGTTCGCCCGCTAGACACCTAAAACAACCAAAAATTAGGGCGTTCAAAGCACAAAAATCGAACTTTCGTTATTTTTCGTTTTTTTAAACATAAAACAAAAACTAAACAAAAATGAAGTAAGATTTCAAACTAAATCGATGAAAGCGCCATCTGGCCGTGGCGGAACAAAAACAAAATAGCTAGCTGACACGAGCGCCTGATAGTGGCACCATCTAGTTTTGGGACCACGAACTTGAAACGAATTAAGACGAAATCTGTAATGCGTCTGCTTATATTTAAAATAACTAATTTAATTTACTTTTCCTTGCATGAAACATGAAAATTATTTACAAGAATGAGAAACAATTTCAATTCCTACAATATCATAATAGGACCGTTGTCTAAAATCATCAAAAATTTGCATTTCGAAGTACACATATGAGATTTCCGCAGATATTCCGTGTGTTAATCACACAAATTATTTATGAAAATGATAAACAAATTCAATACTTACAATCTGATGAAAGAATCGTGGTCCTAGGACATTTCGTTCGCCTGCTATACACCTAAAACAAACAAAAATTAGCATGTCGAAGCACAAAAATGAGATTTCCGCAGATATTCCGTGTGTTAATCACACAAATTATTTATGAAAATGATAAACAAATTCATTACTCACATTCTGATGAAAGAATCGTTGTCCTAGGGCAATTTGTTCGCCTGCTAGACACCTAAAACAAACAAAAATTAGCATATCGAAGCACAAAAATGACATTTTTGCAGGTTTCCCGTGTGATAATCACACAAATTATTTATGAAAATGATAAACAAATTCATTACTCACATTCTGATGAAAGAATCGTTGTCCTAGGACAATTTGTTCGCCTGCTAGACACCTAAAACACACAAAAATTAGCATATCGAAGCATAAAACTGACATTTTGCAGGTTTCCCGTGTGATAATCACACAAATTATTTATGAAAATGATAAACAAATTCATTACTTACAATCTGATGAAAGAATCGTTGTCCTAGGGCAATTTGTTCGCCTGCTAGACACCTAAAACAAACAAAAATTAGCATATCGAAGGACAAAAATGACATTTTCGCAGGTTTCCCGTGTGCTAATCACACAAGTTATTTATGAAAATGATAAACAAATTCATTACTCACATTCTGATGAAAGAATCGTTGTCCTAGGGCAATTTGTTCGCCTGCTAGACACCTAAAACAAACAAAAATTAGCATATCGAAGCACAAAAATTACATTTTTGCAGGTTTCCCGTGTGATAATCACACAAATTATTTATGAAAATGATAAACAAATTCATTACTCACATTCTGATGAAAGAATCGTTGTCCTAGGGCAATTTGTTCGCCTGCTAGACACCTAAAACAAACAAAAATTAGCATATCGAAGCACAAAAATGACATTTTTGCAGGTTTCCCGTGTGATAATCACACAAATTATTTATGAAAATGATAAACAAATTCATTACTCACATTCTGATGAAAGAATCGTTGTCCTAGGACAATTTGTTCGCCTGCTAGACACCTAAAACAAACAAAAATTAGCATATCGAAGCACAAAAATGACATTTTCGCAGGTTTCCTGTGTGCTAATCACACAAATTATTTATGCAAATGATAAACAAATTGATTACTCACAATCTGATGAAAGAATCGTTGTCCTAGGACAATTTGTTCGCCTGCTAGACACCTAAAACAAACAAAAATTAGCATATCGAAGCACAAAAATGACATTTTCACAGGTTTCCCGTGTGATAATCACACAAATTATTTATGAAAATGATAAACAAATTGATTACTCACAATCTGATGAAAGAATCGTTGTCCTAGGACAATTTGTTCGCCTGCTAGACACCTAAAACAAACAAAAATTAGCATATCGAAGCATAAAAATGACATTTTCACAGGTTTCCCGTGTGATAATCACACAAATTATTTAAGAAAATGATAAACAAATTCATTACTTACAATCTGATGAAAGAATCGTTGTCCTAGGACAATTTTTTCGCCTGCTTGACACCTAAAACAAACAAAAATTAGCATATCGAAGCACAAAAATGACATTTTCACAGGTTTCCCGTGTGATAATCACACAAATTATTTATGAAAATGATAAACAAATTCATTACTTACAATCTGATGAAAGAATCGTTGTCCTAGGACAATTTGTTCGCCTGCTAGACACCTAAAACAAACAAAAATTAGCATATCGAAGCACAAAAACTACATTTTCCCAGGTTTCCCGTGTGCTAATCACATAAACTATTTATGAAAATAATAAACAAATTCATTACACACAATCTGATAAAAGAATCGTTGTCCTAGGGCAATTTGTTCGCCTGCTAGACACCTAAAACAAACAAAAATTAGCATATCGAAGCACAAAAATGACATTTTCACAGGTTTCCCGTGTGCTAATCACATAAACTATTTATGCAAAAGATAAAAAATTCATTACTTACAATCTGATGAAAGAATCGTTGTCCTAGGACAATTTGTTCGCCTGCTAGACACCTAAAACAACCAAAAATTAGCATATCGAAGCACAAAAATGACATTTTCACAGGTTTCCTGTGTGCTAATCACATATATTATTTATGAAAATGATAAACAATTTCAATACTTACAATCTGACGAAAGAATCGTGATTCTAGGACATTCCGTTCGCCCCCTAGACACCTAAAACAACCAAAAATTAGCATATCGAAGCACAAAAATGACATTTTCACAGGTTTCCTGTGTGCTAATCACACATATTATTTATGAAAATCATAAACAATTTCAATACTTACAATCTGTCGAAAGAATCGTTGTTCAAGGACATTCCGTTCGCCCGCTAGACACCTAAAACAACCAAAAATTAGCATATCGAAGCACAAAAATGACATTTTCACAGGTTTCCTGTGTGCTAATCACACATATTATTTATGAAAATGATAAACAATTTCAATACTTACAATCTGACGAAAGAATCGTGATTCTAGGACATTCCGTTCGCCCGCTAGACACCTAAAACAACCAAAAATTAGCATATCGAAGCACAAAAATGACATTTTCACAGGTTTCCTGTGTGCTAATCACACATATTATTTATGAAAATAATAAACAATTTCAATACTTACAATCTGACGAAGGAATCGTTGTTCAAGAACATTCCGTTCGCCCGCTAGACACCTAAAACAACCAAAATTAGCATATCGAAGCACAAAAATGACATTTTCACAGGTTTCCTGTGTGCTAATCACACATATTATTTATGAAAATAATAAACAATTTCAATACTTACAATCTGACGAAGGAATCGTTGTTCAAGAACATTCCGTTCGCCCGCTAGACACCTAAAACAACCAAAAATTAGCATATCGAAGCACAAAAATGACATTTTCACAGGTTTCCTGTGTGCTAATCACACATATTATTTATGAAAATAATAAACAATTTCAATACTTACAATCTGACGAAAGAATCGTTGTTCAAGGACATTCAGTTCGCCCGCTAGACACCTAAAACAACCAAAAATTAGCATATCGAAGCACAAAAATGACATTTTCACAGGTTTCCTGTGTGCTAATCACACATATTATTTATGAAAATAATAAACAATTTCAATACTTACAATCTGACGAAGGAATCGTTGTTCAAGAACATTCCGTTCGCCCCTAGACACCTAAAACAACCAAAAATTAGCATATCGAAGCACAAAAATGACATTTTCACAGGTTTCCTGTGTGCTAATCACACATATTATTTATGAAAATAATAAACAATTTCAATACTTACAATCTGACGAAGGAATCGTTGTTCAAGAACATTCCGTTCGCCCGCTAGACACCTAAAACAACCAAAAATTAGCATATCGAAGCACAAAAATGACATTTTCACAGGTTTCCTGTGTGCTAATCACACATATTATTTATGAAAATAATAAACAATTTCAATACTTACAATCTGACGAAGGAATCGTTGTTCAAGAACATTCCGTTCGCCCGCTAGACACCTAAAACAACCAAAAATTAGCATATCGAAGCACAAAAATGACATTTTCACAGGTTTCCTGTGTGCTAATCACACATATTATTTATGAAAATAATAAACAATTTCAATACTTACAATCTGACGAAAGAATCGTTGTTCAAGGACATTCAGTTCGCCCGCTAGACACCTAAAACAACCAAAAATTAACACATCAAAGCATAAAAATGACATTTTTGCAGGTTTCGCGTGTGCTAATTACACAAATTATCTATGAAAATGATAAACAAATTCAATATTTTCAATCTGATGAAACCTATATACCATGGCTGGCCAATCCCAGGCCCGCGGGCCACGAGGTGGCCCGCCAGGACATTTGAATTTGCCCGCCGCACAAACCAAAGTTGGAACTTTTGTATATGTATAATATTTTATGTATGAATGGCCATAGTCTATGGCCCGGTGCTGCCGCATTCTAAAAAAATTGGCCCTCCAGGAGAATCCATTGGCCCGCCTTGCTATATACCAATATTGAAACTGAGAAAAAAACAAAAATTATTTGTGTGGAGAGACCATGCGTTGAAGTAAAAATAAGTTAAGTCAATAATGGATTTGATTTTCATATGGCTGAAGAAATGCGAGAACATACCTTGATGCAAAATATATTTGTGCGCGTTTGGCATATCCAAAGAAAATACGAAATAAATATGAAGTACGCGTATGATACAAAAAGAGTATCCGACGGCCGACAGAACATCACTCACGCTTTACCTCTGCGTGTGTATATTCCGCGCTTAACGAACGCCGCACATCACTTAGAAACAGTACGTAATAACGCGACACAAAATTAGGGAACTCAAAATATTGTAACGAAAATGTGCGTCCAGATCACCTGACGACACAAATGAGACTAACGTGGTACGCACACCAACCGCGTGGCGACTGCACAAAACTGCAGGAGATATAGAAACTTGTTTGTTTGTAAACACTGATACTTTCAGTATGGAAGTGCAGAACATGAAAAGAATTGTACTCGTACTATGCATGGAACTATTAATTTTTGTCCTTTTTATAACAAAATCTTTTCGTTAAATTTATGCATTTTTCGTCGTTTTTAAGATGGGTGCCATCTTGTAGAGAATTCTTTAAGGAGCAAGAATATGAAGTCCTTTTTTGTAGTCCTTTTAGTTCTCGAGATAATTGCGTTTTAATTTCGCCGCTGTCAAGGAAAAAATTATAGATAAAAGTCCGACCCTGTTGTTCGACCGAAAATATTTTACGAAAGTAAGTTCGACCCTGTTCTTCGACCAAAAATATTTTAACAAATTAGTTTGACCCTGTTGTTCAGCCAAAAATATTTTTAGGAAAATAAGTTCGACCCTGTTCTTCATAAAAAAGAGAAATTTTTTGCCTTTTTTATGACGAAATAATTAGATATTAGAATTCAAAACAAAACAAAATGTTACCTAAATAATCAAAGAAGAATTAAACAATCAATAAGAATCTGAAATTAGAATTTAAAAAATCCAACTTTTAATTTTCAATATTTAATTGATGAATTTATCAGATCAAATCATATGAATTTTTGACGGGGATTGTGAAGTAAAAAAAGTGATACATAGATTATAAAAGTACTGTTCACTATGTAGTATATTAGTTTATTGAGAAACAGATGAAATGTCATATTTCTAGCATATTACAATTACAATATTAAAGCATGTCTGAAATAGAGCATCCGGCACGTCACGAAATATATGGAACAGGTGTAGTTCGGCTAATCTAGAATCTAGAACATACTTGTGATCGGTTCAAACGTAATACACTATATAAAATAGTAGCCTAAAAGATTAAAGACCTTACTTATATACAATATTGTCGTTATAAATAATATGTACAAAACTTTCCTTACATTATTTCAATAATCAGGATTAGTGTAAAAACATTTTCTCGTATCATAGAAAATGCAATGTGCAAAATTAAATAATAAATACCGCTAGTCATGATTGTTTTGTTCTGGATACTTGTTGTTACTGAATTGAACACTAAACGTGTAATACTGAGTTTGTCACTGTTTCAAATTCCAAAACTATAATAATTTTAATATGACACCCTCGAGCGCTGGTTCCGCGCCCAAAATTATAATACTGTCTAAAATTATTCATAAATTATATAAATATTAAGTGTGGAAAGTTAGTCTTATCGATTCAGGCAATATTTTACATTGGACTCGCAATAATGTTTCAAAAACAATAAATATGTACAACTCTGCGAGTGATCATAAGCGGGCAACGTAATCGATAAATAATTCTTCGAAATGGCAAATTGTCTTTTGATAAACAACTTAATAGATACTCAGCACAATGCGGTCACAACTTCACAAATAAAATCACAATTTTGTCGAAACGATCGCATTAATCGTTTAGGGCAATAAAATCACAAATTTCGTAGTTATACGTAGTTCTCAATCGGCGGTGGTCCCTGGGGACTCTCCAAGTTATGATGCTGCTTGCGCCGCCGGTGCTCTCGCTCGCGACTCTTCTTGTGCTTGCTGCCTCCGACGCCCGGCGTCTTCGTGACGCCACCATTGCTGGTCGACGTGGCGACGCTGTTGGCGTGTGGCTCTGCCGCCTCGCCGTCTTCGGTGCTAGCGGACGGCGTGGGGCAATTGTTGTTGGATAAACAAGACATTTCTATCATATTTTGACTCTGGAAAAAATCCGAGCTAGAAATTTCTGGAAATAAGACCAAATTAACCTAGTTTTAGTGTTGTGTTATATAAGTTTTTCTTTGCAAAAAATAAAATCAACGAACAAAAACAAATGGATAACTTGAAATCGGATCACACAAGAACAAACAAAGCGTAGAATTAAGCAAAGCGGCTGGGTGACAAACATATGCAAGTGAAGGAATTAGTGGTTTAGTATAAATGACACTAACTAGCGGTGGTGGCACGCACACAAATTGAAGCAGTGCGTTTATACGAAACTTAGGCAAATGCAGAGGCGAAAGTGAAGTGCGTTTACAGCGCTTTTACAGTGCAATGATTAATGATTTGCTTATACAGATAGAGAAACGAAAGAGACTCTTACATGCATTATAGTTTTTGAAGCGCCAAAGACGCCATAAATAATATATTTTGTAATCTAGAGAAGAGTCCATCGCATGAAACACCATTTCCATGGTGCACAAACTTGGTTTGCGCACTCAATTCTTACTAAAAACATATTTCGGAAAAACAGGTCAAACAATTGAAATCAAATTCTAACAAGAACTAGCAAAGTAATGACCATTCTCAGTCAGAATTTGCAAATGTTATTACCTTGTTGTCAGCGTCTGCTAGAGGATTGGCTGTAATTGTTATCCGGTTTCCGGGTAACGCGCATCCATTCGTACGCGATTTTGGATTAACGACATAATCAAAGTCGTTCGGTTCGGCCTGAATGTGATGATTTATTTCCTCCACGGCGGGTTTATCACTTCGATCCCCCCGCGATTTGTCTGCCTCCTTGTTCTGTTTCCATTTACAGGTAATAAAACACACAATGGCGCTCAGAATAAGCGCTACTGTACCAACGCCCAATCCGATGAAAACGTACACTCGGGTGTCGTTGTCGGACGTATCCTTTGCTTTGTTTATTGTCGGCGTCGGAGGAGATGGAGGTTCTAAAAGATTAGTAATTGAGTATAACTAATATAAGTTTAGTTGGAATGTACATACTGAGAGTCTTGCATTTCACGATGGTACTGAAATCACTCGCGCCAAACGTGTTGTAACTTTGCATCTTAATATCATAAACAGTATCCGGTGTCAGATGAGTGATGATGTAGCTAGTGCTGTTCTCGCCCTCGGCAGTCGCCTTCATGTAATCACCGGCACTGCTAGCCGACATGTAGCTGATGAAGAATCCATCGATAGTTACATTCGGCTTGTCGGACTGCAATTGTGAAAACGTGTGTTAAAATAATTACAAGTTATTACTCTAACAGTAAACTTACTGTCCATGAAATTTCCACAGATGTTGTATTAATAGCTCTTCGGTAACTGATGAATGGCACTGGCAATGGATTCTTCGTATAGAATCCTTCACGCTTCAAGTGGAATCGATCACTTTTCTGGCTCAATTTGTTATCATTGTTGCTGTACACCGCAGCAATTCGAAATTTGTACAAATAATCCGGCTTTAAGCCTGTCACCTCAAAACTTCGAATATTCGGTGCAATGTCGGAATTATTCGTCTTCCATCTTGCCGCTCGTCCTTTCTGCACGCCATCGCTGCTATTTGCAGGGCCGAGCTCTCGATATTGTACTTTGAAGAATATAATTTTAAGCCCACTGTTATTAGGAACTGTCCAACGGACCACTACAGATTCATCATTTGATCGAGAAACTGTTGGCTTATTAGGCGGTATCATTTCCGATGATCCTGGCTTTTTATTTGGTTTCTTTACCGGTTTCTTTCTGTGATTGTTGGATTGATGATTGCGTTGATGGTGATCCACCGAAACCTCAGTTGACTCTGCATTGGGCACTTGCTTGGGATAAACATTCAACTCACCGCCAGCGTAAGTGGTACCCACGACATTCGTAGCAAAACATTGAATTTGTCCACCTTGAGTTTTCCCAAACGAGTTGAATCTGATGTGGTTCTCGTGCACTTCAATGGTCCTATCTCTAACTACGGTTTTTCCGTTTAGTAGCCATGCTATTTTAGGCGTGGGAATGCCGGAAACTGTACAAAATAACTCTACAGTATCGCCTTCCTTGACGATTTTACTCTCTGGTCCCTGAATAACTTGAGGTGGCTCGTGGTAAATTAAGTGTATTATAGTAGGAATTTTGCCTATCCGGTTAGCAGCTTCGCAAACGTACGCTCCTGCATCCTGTGCAGTAGCATTTAAAATGTAAAGTCCACCAGGGATTTGTTTGAACCTATCTGTAGGTAGCCTCATTCCAGATTTGGTCCATGTTATCGTAGGAACTGGATACCCAACTGCGTTGCACTCGATGAAGACCGCCTCTCCTAAAGAAATTATTAACTGTTAGGTATTTATATACAAAATAACCAAATTATAATATTTATACCTTTTATGACAGTGTAGCTTGTAGCAGGAATTGGCCAAAATCTAGGAATCTCCGTGTAAGCCTTATCGGTAACTATCAGATTCAAACTAAAACTGCTCTCCTTTCCACTGCCGTCGAGATAGGCATTCTTCGCCTTGCATTTGTACGTGCCAGTATCCGCCACGGTCGCATTGGCTTTAATGAGTGACGTCCTCTTGGGATCCGGAAGCTGCGGCACGAACTTACCATCTTTTGAATAGTCTATATAAGCAGGTGGGTTGGATTCGGGCGTGTTACATTTCCACATGATTGTATTCCCGGTAGCTATAGTCAGAAAACTATCCTTTTGCGGTGGGAAGTTACTCATTTTGCCACGGTGATCCTATCCGGAACAGACGCAATGACACGCGCGCCATAATGAGCAAGACATTGGTAATCACCCGCATATGAATCGTTCGTCATCAACACCTTCAACGTGGACCGTTTCTTTTCATTTCTATGCGTGTCCAGTGTTATGAAATCGGTCCGCGTAAGATCAAGCGGCGTATCCGGTTTTGACGCGTTTTCCCGCCCCAGTGGATAAAAACGCCACTTGAAAAGATCCGGCACCACTGTCATTTCACAGGTGAGCACTGTTTCATCATTGTAAGGCAGCTCCTTGGACGTGGCGTTCGTAATCTTATAGATGCTGCCTGCAAACCGAAAAAAATGAACAATTTTTAAACACGTACGTAGGTAATAAACGCAAATAAAAATAACCGCAGCTGCTTAGGCTTCAAATAGTTTCATTACTCATGCACATTACACGTCTTGTCCCCGAGTTATGTCTCATTTAAGGGTCTGGTTTTGTTTAGCATTTCGTACGTGGCAAATTGAACGCAACGAAAGAACCAGCCATTATTTGCCTCCCTCCGCACGCTGGATTGTTGAGTCTTGTACTCCTAGTTTATGGCCGGCCGTGAGCAAACGAGTAAAACCGCAAAAATACGGACAACTACTTCGCCGGCAGGAAGCTTTTTGTGCTGCTACGCGCATGCCATTTGCACAAATGACGTTACAAAGCAATCCGCGTATCTATTCGAAAGGTAGCCAAATGCATGTGTAGTTTTGCACTTACCCGTGCTGGCCATGGCGAGGTCAAGAAGTGTCAGAGTCGTCGCAGAGATGAGGATCCACGTCGTCCATTCCCAAGTTGTTCGCGTTGTTCCCATCGCCCGCTTCATTCTTCAGCATCCCTGCAAGCACAAAACTCACGTTGTACTAAGTTAATTACGCGCAGCGCGTCGTCTTTTAACGTATTAAATGCCACCCAGAATGTTCATCCTACTTTCACCCCACTTTCGATAGGGATGTCTTCCGGCAAGATGCGCAATCTTACCAATTTTAATTAGAGTAGCTTTTTAAACTGAAAGTGGAGCGCACGTCGCTGCGCGAACATGTGAGGTCTACAAAGTTCCACAATGAGAGTAACTTAACTTAGGGGGCCCTAAGCACACGTACAGGAAGTCGAACTTGACGCGATAGTCGTGTGCGTACGGAAGGAAGGGTTTCCTTCATTCTATAACCCAGCAGCGGTTTGATTTCAACATTAGATTGTGGTTTACATTTCAGGCTTTCATGGTTCAGGTGTCCCTTCATCAACATAAGTGAACTCACGTTTTTAACCTTTGATTCCAAGTTTTACCGTGCATTTTAAAATCAAAACCGTATTTTAACTTTACTAGTTTGGCGCACGCGTAAATCGTCTCATACGATCATGTAATTTACGTAATTGAATTTAATCATGTTTAATAAAGCATCCACATTGTTTTAAATGATTATTATTACCAACAACTCAGTAAGAAATAGTTTATATCTTCATTTAATAGCTTATTTAAAGCTTTCAAGTAGCCACTTCAATTAAATTGTCAATAAACGTTGATTAATGCCGCCCAATGTGCGACAGTATAAACACACGTTTTCCGCAAATAATAACCGTGTGCGTGTAAGCACACGTCGCGTGCGCAGTGTGCAATTTCATAAATTAGATGATTAAGTAGGCGCAACGGAAAACAGTTGGCGTTTGATGAATTATCGCGTACACCTCTGCGCGTTCTACTTACGATTCCAAGTTTCTGTGATTCGCCTCAAAGGAAAACGAAAGCAGCACAGCGAAGTTGTAAGAATGCCCACGTACGGACCGGAAATCAACAAATTGTTTAATTGCGGAGCGCGATTAGCACTCAAAATTAGCAACGTGCAATAAACTATTATCATATTATGCAATATGTGCACACATCGAGTGCACTTCGTGACGGATTGACGCAAACGTAAATAAAAGGAAGCAGCGAGCGTGACATTGTTACTGAGCGAGAATCCGCTTGCAAGGCGTTAATTTATCTGACTCGCAATGCATTGCGGATGCGACACTTTTGTTCGCGATTCTATGAAATTACTTCTAATTACACACAATGCGCGATTATCCATTTAGTTGAGAATAAAAACATTCAGGTGGATAATTTTTAATGTCTTGAGAAATATACAAGTTGAGAGGTTAAATGTTAAGCCATGAATTTCGCTGCATTCGGTCGCTTGTGAAATATTATTTGTTCCACACGGTGAAATCTATCGTGGAGTTCGCATCGTTTGCAAGTCATTTGCAATTTGCAATAAACGTAAATTACGCCGCGCATTCTTCTCGCATATATCGCGCCTGGCAAACCGGTGCGAACCACGAAGTAAAGCCCTTCGTTGCGGCGCGCCAACCGCCGCCATTCGCGGTAATAATGCTCGTAAATCGGAAACCGGCTCTTAAATCAAACGCGCAACTTGGGATTTTATTATATGCACATTTAAAGGTGACGCGTCTGCAATGCGCCAGAGTGCAACCAGCAACAAGCGCACTATGAATATAATATTAAACCTTTTTACTTCTGCTTCACGTATGTGGTGAATATGGTCACGGGCGGACAAAAAACCGTTGGGCGCGCAGCGTGGTCCACAAGAAAAATGGAAGCTGGTCAACGCTCAAGAATGCCACTGCTGCGCCTGCACGCGGCGTGTGTGTGTGTGTACCCTATGCGCGCATATTTCGTGTTTGTTCATCGGGTCCTCGTCGTCGAAAGAAATTAATTAATCGCGCCCCCTTCGCCATAACGCGCCGATCGTAATCTCGGCGTGATTTATGATTCGTGCGCAGCGCGAGCCATAAAAAAGACTAAACACAAAAATGTTGGAAAAATCACACGCAGCGAGACATCAACGTGTCTACGATGTGTTACTCAACTTAAAACAGAGGAGAAATTTTAGTTTATGGCATTTTCACCCAATAATTAAACTTGAAGAACTTGGTAACATCTGTGATGCTTCAATTCAAGTATCACTTAATCAATCGCAGCGCTCTGCGCATAAAATCAAGCTTTATTTATGTGCAGCGATGATTGCTGTGATGAGTTTGATTCAAGTGCAATACGCGGATGAACTTATGATAACTAATGAATATTGAAACGTTCATTCGTTAAGGAGCTGTCGAAGTGAACTGTAGAAGCAGCAATTAAAAAATTCCCGCGATGCGCGGTAGGTAGACAGCAAAAATGGCACGTTTTAATGGGCCTGCATTCAATTCAATTCAATTCATCTCGTCGCAATGCCGAAACGAAATAAATCGCCTTCGTGGAAGTTAAGACATTGGGCGAGTTTTTGCCAATTCGGCGTACGAAATGCACGCGATCGATGCTAATTTTTCGCCGGTCAGAAGAACAACATTCACGTTTTGTTTGGCTTTACGTGTGGCTGAAAACGCGCGACATCCGCAGCGAGAAACCTGCGTGCATGTGCGCACACATGCAGACGCCGAGCGAGTTTGCAGGACAGCATTCGCATTCCCAGACGTTATAATTGCGGTATTGAAAAGTGTACGTGTGGGTACCGAGAGCACTCGGTGCGCGCCGATTTATTACGCGCTCTCCACCTCGATGATGACTTTCTTATATTCTAGTTAACACAAATACAAAGATAGATCCACGTCACAGGATGTGACACATATTTTTCAAAGTAAATCTTCACGTCATAAATAAAATTAATAGAAATCATAATTTTATCATTACAAAGCGGTAAATAATGATTAAATAATAATAAATTTATATTGCAGTGGATATTTTAGTGTTACTAGTTTATTTTACACCCTGTTTAGTACTCCACTTAGCGTTCTTAAAATAGTAGCTGGTAGTAAATGGACGTTGTGGCCGTTCCCGCTCGTTATGAAAATTATAACATAAAATTACAAGCTTGCGAAACAAATAAAATGAAGTTTTATAATTGCTGCCGTGCTATCGTCATATCGCGAGATCAAATTAAAGATATCCCCTATAATTGCAGAGATTAATGACGGAATGAAAGTGAAAACAAAAAGTAATCAAAATGAAAATGAAGCAGTTTTTGTTTTACCAACAACCAACCACAAGAATTAGTTTAAGGGATGAAAGAACGGTTTAAAATATTTTTTATCTCAACATCAACGTCTAAGGAATTTAATTTTTAAGTTAATTCTTTCATGCGAGTAAAAGAGACAGAACAAAGGGTGCATTAAAATTTAAAATTCAATGTGGTAGACTTTTAAGCCCCCAAAGAAAAATATAAAATGAAGAATAAAATAATCGTCATAGGGATGCGGTTGGTTCTTGAGTCGCCTTTTGAATTTTTAATGCGATGTCTAACCTGAAACTACCAAGTACCTAAGAAGCCGCAAAGGCAAGCATAAAACGAACAAAATAAAATAACGAGTCAACGAGTGGATGATGAGTCGAAGATGTCGAGATGCGTCGGCCGGGGGCGCGTTGATGTCTCCAACATGAACAAGTTGACAGCGCGCGTTCTCCACACAGCCACAATACAAAATTTAAAAACTTTAAAATGATGTATGCCGAGATAACGCTGGCATTTGTTCGGCTTAAAATTCATCAAAATTCACGACCGAAAAAACAACCACATCCACTTCTGTTTGCGTATATAAGCTGCACGACGCAACACATCAAGCGCGTAAAATTTTATTATTTGTTAAAGCGGAATTTTAATTAATTTCGATGGAGCGTCGCGATTAAGTCATAAAAATACGCGCTGTGTTAACGCGACGGCGACGCATAACGAATGCGACGTAAAACGGCTTTACGACCAACGCCAACCCTTTGGTCAGCGCTTGTAAAAGCTCCAACTCGGCGCTGCGCTTGAAACAAATCTTTTCCGACAATTTGTTCAAGCATAAAATTAACCTCAGCCGCAACATATACAATGATATTGCAAATATTCGAAAACAAACAATAGTTTTCACACCTGATTAACTCAAAGAGAAATATTATTAATGATTAACTGTTTTATTTATAAGAATGAAACAGCGCGGTCGTAAAATCTCAAAAATTCAACGTTTTATAGCTGGTTAATTGATTGAATCGGATTCTCAACGGTTCGTTATCAACCTAATTTCGTTTCCATTAGGTGCGCGGCCATCATGGATGTCGGTCCACAGGTTTAATGTGTTTTCGTCTTTATTTATTAGCAGCCGACTGAAAAGTGAAATAAATCAAAAACGAAACACGCGCTCTAAAAGCTTCCATAAATTTTATCAATCACAGCCGTCCGAAGCTCCTAATTTCCATGCAGCAACAAGAAGCGTCATAAACTTTCGATTACGAGATGAAAAGATTACAAAAACTCAATTATTTTCTTCATGTGTTAGATGTAACGAATTATTAATATAATAAAATCGTGAGGAATGTTGATATGAAGCTGGTTCGAAGCGGAGAATGTTGATGTTGCCATTGTGTGGCGGGTTTAATAAGGGTTAACTGCACAAGTGTACAAATCGGCAAGTCAGCACGCCGACAACAATCGTCTCCACGTCTTGTACACTCAGGTGCGCAACAAAAGCGTTATTTAGTGTTACAACGTCATATAAGTTGGCAAAAAATAAATTCGCGGGTCGGTTGTGATCTTCTCTCGTAAAAAGAGAAGAAATAATTTCTAATGTAATTTATTAATGCAAAGTTAACGTAGTTTATCGTCCCCGCGACTCGTTCGCATGCTCGTTGCGCTCGAGAAATAGTTGAAATTGCCCATTTATGGCGTTCGGAGAGCGGCGCGATGGGCCGATAGCCAGCATGCATTTACATGGCATTGCTTTCTTGTCGAAGCATTGCAGCTCACAGGCCGTATGAAGATATATTTTATGCAATAAAAAAGAAGCATTGGAAGTTAAATGCCGACGCATCGGTGAAGCGGTGGAGTCGCGAGGATGCTGGTCGCATACCGGCGTGCACACAATCGCGTTCGCCCTCGATGGAGGAGGCAAGGAGAACCAAGAACGAAGAACCGAAGAGACGAAGTGCCGAGTGCCTGCCCCGGCCGGTCGTCGATGCAATATATTAAAGTGCGCGCCGTCGGACAACTACTCTCGCCCAACGCACACACGTGAAACACACACACATACACGTCGTGCTTTATTTTTTCTACCTTCGCGGCCCGCCGCTTTTCGTTTATTTATTTTCGAACGCCGTTGCGCGAAACGCGAAGACGCGACGCGCTCTTGTTTCGACGGTGCGGCTTTTTTACACGTTCGCTTCTCGCTCACCCTGCGGTTCTCTGCGGCCAATTGACAATTCAATCCAGTTTGGTTTGCGGTGCGTTTTTCTTGGAAAACGTACCAGTGGTAGGTACTAGCACAGACACAGGACGAAACAATTCACGGTAGCCCTTTTGTTTCACCGCTCCCGTATTTCACCTGTGCGCGGCCGTCGAATATTTGCATTTTTTGCGCCTTAAACCGAAAATTACGAGCACACCAAATGTTCGCATTCCGCGCGTCTGAAAATTTTTTCACTTGCTACATTTTCCTTTTGTGAAATTACATTCCGGTCGGTCGTAAATGGAAAAAGTTGAGAAGCGACTCGAAACAACAAGGGAACAAGAGCAAGCACGACGCGCAATCAATCATTCAACCATTTAAATTCCACGTGCGTACGCCGGCAACGGCGGCACGGCCGCGCATTATATCGATAAATAATAATCGATCGACAATCAATGTCCATTGTTTTCGGTGTTCTCTTCTTCCTTCACTTCTGTCCACCATGTGAAGAATTTCCATGCATGCCGCGTGTGCGTACGATTGTTTTTCGAATGTAACTAGCTGAGTTATGGCCGTCATTAAGCAAGCATTACGCTTGACCAGTGACCGCAGCCAGCAAAGTTTGATTAATCGTGTTTTCTCGATAAACCGAGAAAACCGACCATCGCCCCGTGTTTAATTGCTGTTAATCGATGACGAAGCGGCTCGTTAACAGACACGTCGTCTTATTTACATTCGAATCGTACGAAAATCTCCGGAATGCTCATATGGCCCTTCCACTCGTATACAGCCTGCATGCGCTGCGATTTATAAATAACTTATGGCTCCTCTTTCGGGTCGGACACAGAAGCCCAATAAAAAAGAAACGACGCCACCGTATGAGAATGAGAAAATAACAGTCGGGCGTGCGGGACGCACGAGAGATGAACGAGCGGAAAGGTAGACGCGATAAATTTTCGACGAGCACAGCGCCCCGCCGCTTCCACGCAAACGAGATAGCCGCGAAACGGCGGGCGCCTTCGTCGTGGCCGTCGTCGTCGCCGGATTATACCGGCTCTCCTCTCGCATAAGTCTAAATTCATACCTTCGCGAAGGCTTTAATTGAGTTAGCAATGTCAGCCCGTTGTGTCTTTGATTTTTATTTCTTGTCGTCGTCAACACGCGGAAAAAACAAGTTTTTGGCATTCTGCAACACTGCGAAACGTGTAAATTTCGCACAAATTAACACAAACCACACTTTACAAGCGTCTCTACAACTTGTTTATTTGTTCACGAATATATATAAAAATTAGCAGCAGTAGCCGCATGTCATGTTATTATTGTAATTGCGTATATTACAAGTAATTTTCTGGATGATTTTCTTTCACTGCCGCAGAATGTATGATACCCAAGCTACTTAAGTAGCTGCTGCGTGAATTCTAGTTGTGCACAGCTAGGATGGATATAAATAACCGCGTGCGTGCCTTAATTGCACTTTAGGTACGCACGAGTCATTAGTTCAGTTAAACGTCATATTCAACCGCCCGTACACGTTCGGAAAACAATCATCTAATGACATCTGACAGCTTGTTCCGGTCTAGGAAATAAATCTGCATCCATGCGGTGTCATAACATGCATTTACGCGCGGTAAACAACTGTAAAGTAGCGAAAACATGGAAATCAATTATGATTGTTGTGAGCGATAGGGCGCGATAAACTTTAGTCCAACGTTCGTCATTTGATTCACATGCGCGATTCATGAATTGAAGTTGCACATTAATCATGAAAGCTCGCGTGTGTGTATTCTCGCGTCCGATGCGTTTTATCAACGATTGTCAATCGTCACAGTCGATCATTAATATTCGCTCGTTCCGCATTGCTATATGTCGGCTTACAATTTAATTAGGTGTATTTGTATGCGCGCAACGGTCACAGATATTTCGATAGTTGTTGCAGCATTAATAAAATATAATTGAAATGTGCATTCGGATCAAGATTAAGCGACACCGCGCGACATTCGTAAGCTTCTAAGCACCTGTCGCGACTACTTGCTGCGCCACTGACGGCCATTTGTCTTAATCCACTGTGGAATGTCCTATATTTTTCGAAACGGCAATTGCATCATTCAGATTTTATTTCAACGTAACGGAAAGAGAGCCGAAGTAAAAAAACAAACAGAAAAAAAGCAGCACGAAGACGAAATCGATCGAAATCATCACGCAATCATGGGTTATGATCAATATACGAGTGTGTGGCAACCGTGGCGAGTTATAGCCGTACGACTTGTTATGATTAGAGGGTACGGGCGTGTGCATCGCGTAAGTATACACGGCCGAAGGTAAGTATTATCACAAGTTAAAGCGTATCGCATCGCGCTGGCACCGACACCACCATCATCATACTCATCATCATGGAGACGACGCCATAATCCGATTTCGAAAATCACACCCGTGGTCTCGCCCGAAATCTATCGATTCCTTTTCGAAATTATGGGCATTTTTCTTCATTATTTTCCGATTATCGAAATGTCATGCACTGGTGTTATATAGATAATGGTAGTGAAGTAATTTGCGAGTTTCTCACCAAGCGGCATTCCGGCGCAGGTTTTTCTTATCGGAATTTTATTGGTTTCCGAACCGAATGCGAGCTTTATGCTCACAGCAGCTTTCCACTTAACTTAATGGCGAGTTGCAAATTTCAGCCGGGGAATGCAATACAATTCTTCAATTGCAAACACACGATGCACACAGATAAAACCGGCTGACGCCTCTCGCATGCCAACACGGTGTTATTAATCATCGTTATGAAGATACGGCGTTGCGTGAAACAAATTATCACAAAGTCATCTTGAACTCACACACGAGTTATTTTTCGGATGAAAAAAATAAACTAATTTAGGAACTAGTGTTATTTATGTTTAATTTTTTATTACACCCAGTGTAAATTAATAAAATAACACACGTCATGGGAACATGGGTCCAGCACACCACTACCACTACCATAAGTCCATAAAACTAGCACTGGACCCAAGAGTTCTCCTTCTCTCTCACTTTTGTTCTCGCGTCGCGACTACTACAATCGCCGGGCGCATTGTGCGCGTGGTAAACATGTGTGCGTGAATGCGTGGCGTGTTACCTGGCCGTAATCTACATTATCTGAGAGAGCACACCGCAGGTAACCCGAGGAACTTTCAACCGCACGAAGAGATGCAGACTTAAGTCGCGTGATGCTTGTTGCTGAACTGTGGCCGAGCGCACAACAAGTGCATCGGTACACACACACACATGCCGCCCGAACGCATTCCACATAATTTACGAAACGCTCAGCCTTTTATCAGATGCTTATTATGCGCGGATTCGGCCAAGCGCGCTCGCGCATCGAACTCTCCGTCACGCATACGTAGGTACGTCTAATATGTAGGAGGTGCCGAGGGTGGATAATTTACACGTTTACTCTTTCACACGTTAGACATTATAATTTTCTACGCATCGATATTATATAACAAGTTCAAATCAAATTTGATTTTCTACTTACTTTGGATTTTTCCCCGACTGGTTTCGCAAGATAATCACGTAATGCACGCCTATTGTATCCTCTCGCGCACACCTTACGTGCCCTCGAACAAGAGTGCGCGAGTCTTTCTTCTAACGAGCGAACACGATAATAACATAAGTAAGGCCCGCTGGAGTTGTTCCCAAGCCGCACATTTCGGACCGCAGCGTCCGGCGTCGTGTGTTTAGTGTTTACACTTTACCACTTTAGTACTTTACAGATTGCGGTTTGCTCACCAACAACTCACGCCCGCTGATGAGCGCGTATAAAGACTACGAAAGCGCGTTGTTGCTAAGCAACTGGCGCGTTGTTAACGCGTCCGCCGCGAACACGGTGATCCATCAAACGTAATTATGCGCCGAAGTTACTCGCAGCGTGTGTGCACGCCAACTGTTTAAATAGGGTTGTGCTGCACCCGCCGCTGACAAATTGCAAGCTAAGTTTTCGAGACCTGCGCACGCGGGCTATAATTTATGCGCTGCTGAGAAGAATTCGTGGCGAACAGTCTCAGGAGTTTTAAACACACTTAAGTCCCTCACATACACATAGGTACATAAAATATTTATTTATTGAAGTATTCTACGAACTTACCTTTCTATCACAATTTTTGTACAGGAATTTTCTACGCCTCGGCTCTGGGTCTGCACATCTACACATCCAAGAGTCTCATAATTGCTGCAATTCCTGTAACAAACAGACGACATAAATCAGTCAAACGTCGTGGCAATATCAATCAGCGCAAATTGTTATTCGAAGAATTCTGCGCCGCAGATATGATACAAATCGCAGCCGTTGGAATTTCGATTATTTATTTATTTACGTTTGAGATCATCGCTTACAGTTATGTGCTTCAGTTTATAGCGTTTATCTGCCTTCGTAATTTATTGAATTCATTACCGATTTATGGACTTGTATGTCGAGACACTAATAACTCTGCCTTAAATATTTTAATATTTAAACGTCCGTAAGAATGATGATTTCGACAAACATGAAAAAATATCTGAACGAAGTTTGGAGATGTTTGCTCGTTTGCTTTAAGCCTCCTGTGTGTTCGTGTGAGGAGAAAAGTGGGGATTAATTGAGGTGTTGTGAAACATCAACGATTACCGATTTTTTTTTCGAAAGGCCATTGATACCAAATTGTTAATATTGACATGACATGATGAGCTACAATTTTATCAACTATCAAATATTATCAAATATTCAATAATGAAGAAAATAAAATTTTATCAAAGTTTTCACGTGTGTTTATTTAGTTTCAGACGGTAAAAAATGAGATAAAAGTGTTTTATCGTGAACCCCATATAACTTCCAGTTTACCCTTTAGTTTCAGACGGTAAAAATGAGTATATTTTACAAACGTTTAGTAGCGGTAAAAATGAGATAAAAGTGTTTTTATCAGGAACTAAGAACCCCATATAACTTCCAGACTGGATACCTTTTACTACTACCCTCGTACGGTGCCCTGAATAAGAGTCACCTGAGCATTCACCTGCTTATGGTACACCGAATGATGATCGTATCCCAAAGTATCCCCTCTCTAATCAAAGGATTTTACACGATGTAGCGGCTTGTCCCTTGACGTTCCGCTAACGTACCTAGTAGCTTACCCCCACCACGCTTCGCGGGTCGGCCGGTAGAAAGAGGTTGCTCTCGGGGCATTTGGTACTCAGTCGTACCCGGGCTCTCCTTTCTCTTTTCCCCGGTTTTAAAAAAGTGGTAAAAATTGTATTTTATGCAAAATTGTACAAAAAATTATAAGAAAATGAAGGAAATTAATCAAAGGTTTTATGAATGAAGCAAAAACAGTTTGCATCACAAGTTTGCCACGATGTTGTTTACGAGAACAGACCATCTGGCCTTCGCATCAATCTGCATTTCGTAAAATGCTAATTAAACATAGTAAAAATAGAAATAGAAAAGCTGAATGAAACTCACGCGCACGTAAGAAGTGCACGAACGCCAAATGCGGCGAGCGTTCGCGCTCGATGGCCGCGATAGCGAATGCCTGTGGTCATAATTGAAGGAAAACCTACGCGACATATTTACGCGCCGTAATTTGTCCGCGCGCCGTCTCGCGACTCATTCGCATTTCGCTCTCGAACGCACCGCCGCGTATCGCGTTACGAAACTTTGTTGTTATGGCCACACGACTACGCACACGCGGCTTCCATTCACAGCCGGCACAATTGGTAAAAAAGCACATGTTCACTTTCGTGTTGTTGACATATGCGCGTACAGTTCACATATGCGTATCGTAGTACTCGGCTACGTGATTTCCATCTCGAAAAAATCTTAAATGTTCGCACGCGCTCAATGAAATCATAAGCAAATGCAACCACAAGCAGGCAAAACATAAGACGAGTGTTTTTATTTTTTGTTCCTTTTGTTTTGTTCATTTTATGACAGCTCTAGAGTGAATTACGCCCGGGTAAAGTTATTAACTAAGACCATAAAGTTGAGATATTTAATATTTATGCATTGTTCATGCGGCGTTCATTCATTCGATTCGAGTATTCGAGTTATTATTCTGCACACGAATGCCATCGCCCACACGTGAAAACGTTTAGACTTTAGAATGTGTTTTATATCTTTAATAATGTAATAACTCTTGTAATCGTCGTAATTTTTCGAATTTCTTGCATGGAATAAAGCTACAGGTAGACACAAACAAAAGTTGCTGATGCTAACATTTGTTTGTTAGAATAAAAGAAATTGGAGTCAAAGTAAACATGGCAAAGGAAAGTGTCCATTTGTGACGACCACGTTCAATTAAAAAATTACATTACCACCAAATACGGGCCGCCCGTTGGGCAACGATCGAAAGCAAAGAAAATCATTAATTACAAAAAGGGAGCAGTTACACACAAAAGCGGCTAGAGCCTATACCTAGCGTCTTGGCTCGTTTGGATCGTTCGACTGGAAATTGTATTATGTTTTGTGCCGTCGACTTCCAAGTGCAGCGCGCGGCGAGCGTAAAAAGTGAGAAATTATAAAGCGTGGGATTTGCCTCAGCGAACGCGCTTAGGTGGGCGTCTAATATCGTTAATATTTAATGTTAAATCTAGAAAATGTTAGGAAATCTAAAAAATGCAAGGCGGAGATAAATCAAAACGCAGTTTTTCCATTAAAGGAAAAACCTGTAGATAACCATATTATTACTAGACATTTAAACGGAAAAGAAAATAAAATATGTGTGTTTCCTTTTCACGAGTGCACCACTACAACAATTTTGATGAATTTTGGCGTATAGCGAGATAAAGCGGTGGAGAAAGATATAAAATAATTTTTGTTGCAAAAATAAAATTTAACATAGTAAAATATGCGACAAAAATTTCCACAGGAAATCATGATTCAACCCGAAGTACTAAAGTTAAAATTTATATCCAGGTGTTCACAGAATTTAATTAATTCTAACTTTACCATATCCAGTTTTAAATTAGTGTGTAAAACAATGCGGCCTAAGTAATAACAACGCAAGAAGAAAGATTGTTTACTTTGTTTTATACGAAGGTAAAACAATAAATCAAATTTCCATTCACGATCATTATTTTCACTGCTACAGTCGTCGAAATATGCAGGTATAATTTAATTTACACTCAATTCTCCTGTGTTAATCATGCGCTTCCTATTTAACACGATAAATAAATTTTGAAAAAAGATCTACAAAAACCAGTAAAGTACGGATGTGTAAACAAAAACACTTCCCTCGTTTTTAACACAATGAAGCTAAAAAAGAACTTCCTCTTTGGCAGTTTATTGAGAGGCTTTAAACGTTAGAAGTGCACAAACATTAATGTTTGTTTATCCGCAGATCGGCGCCGATGCACGCCATGAAACTAAACCACGAGACACTTTGCTCGACGCCGCTGCAGCTCGATAAACACGCTAAAATATGTTCACGGAATGCCATAGACTCAAAAGTAACCAAAGAAACTATATGACAGGAGAGTGATATTCATATAATGTCCGAAATGTGTACTGTTATGCACTGCAAATCTTCAAGCGCGACTTCCGCGTTAATTTTTTTTTTTGTTAAAATGAAACGCGTATACACTCTACGAGTACATCAAACAGTGGCGTAACTATAGGGTGGCAGCACTGGCAACATGCCATGGGCATTTGCAATGTGACGATATTTTTACTGGACACGCCACTGACATCAAACGCGCTTTTTGTGTCACAATGTATTTGTTGAGATAGACACTCTAATCGAAACACGATTTAATGGATCACTTAACACGTTTATTGTGGAAAGTAAATAAAAACAGCGTTTAATGATGCTTTAAATGAGATTGAACGATATTGAGATTTATGTGAGGTCCAAGAAAAACCCATACAGCACAAGAAACTACAAGAAAACTATAAGTGCACAAACGAAAAAGCATGTGACGATGTGACCCATTTGGCGCGTGATGTCGACGTCCCTGGCATGCGAACAATAAACACGTTCGCGTCGCGACGCCGCATACCTTAAATTTGTTTTTTGTGTTCCTACCACTCTGCGCAATGTGAAATGTGAAACGAAACTTCTTTTTCGTTCACGGTATCATCGCGCAAATTTACGACCGTATATTATCGCGCGCTGGAATCGTAATTAACGCACGCTATTTATAAAAACGCAAGAGAGGATTCAGTTCTTAACATAGCTGCCATTCGATATGCGGATGTATCGCTGCAGCAGAACATCGTAAAAGTGCGCATGTTTCAGTAATTAGCAACCAAGCGCAATCGATTTAATGAAAATTAAAATTATCGTGTTTTGAAAATGCGCTAAGTGCACATTGCGCAAAGAATGCGGTTTAATTAATATCAAGAATTTTAATTAATTAGGAAGCGCTAAATGAGAAAATAGAATTAAATATGACATTTGACCATTTGTCATCAAATTATACCCGCAGTGAGATGAACCGGAAAGATCATTAGGAAGAAAAAAATTTCTTGACTTGACTTTAAGTCATCCCGGATTAAATCGCAATTTATCCGGTGTCGATAGATAAGGCAACA